GTTAATGAATTTGTTGCTTTAGAATGGTGTAAGGTTGACAGCCTAGGAAACTAAAGCATCAGTACATATTTTCTCAGACTATTTCGATAGTATGCTTTATCCCTGACCTGGAAAAGCCACCTCTGCATGTGAGAGGATAGCTCATTCTCCATAGCTCATTCAGTCCTTGTCCTTTTTGCTAGGACTGCCATCAAGATTGCTAATTATAGTAATAGGTTTGTGACGTGGGTACTTTTCCTCTGAAAACTGGTCAAATTCATTTGATACAGGCCATAAAGCAGCCATTAGTGGGTACCAAGTTTCAGCCACCATCAGTTTGACCTAAGTAGTAGCTGAACAGTGCTCTAGTGTTTTTTCCTTGCATCCTATTTCATTTTTTAATGTTCTTCTTGTAGCCAAAAAAAGCTGTCGAACTGTTTTATCTTTCCAGTAGGTTTCAGACCTGAACCTGATTTTCCTATTTTTGATTACAGGAAACTAAACCTGCATGAGTTAAATAAGCCAGCACAAAATAATGTCAAGAGTGGGCTTTACACAGCCTTATATATGTTGGGTTTGGGGTTTGTTTGTTTGTTTGTTTTTTTACAAAAAAGCCACTTAAGGTATAGCTTGGACAGAAATACAGAGTAAAGCATATTTTTCAAATTTACAAAATAATTTCAGCAGTTAGTATTGTAGCATCTTCCCTCAAAAGAAAGATATAAAAAAATTATAGCTTTAAAGCTTCTTATTTTGCTGGAAGAAAAATAACTTTAGAAAAAAGTGGTTGATGTCCACTAATTTAGCATCATTGGAAAGGGAACAAGAGGAAAATATTAACAAGGCTTGCATTTTTTTCATGTTGGCACTCAACATGATACTCACGATTTAAAAGACTTTTTGTGGTATGGTATTTTTACACTTGTGTCTATTTTTTTAAAGGAAGCTTCATAAAGATTGAGATTTTGGGGTTTCTGTTGCTAACACTTTTCTGGGTTTCCTAGCAGTGGTTTTCTTTAAATGGAAATGTAATCAGCCCTTACTGTATGGTGCCTTCAGTACTTCTATCAGGTCTGACCACTCAGTCCAAGAGTCACGTCCTCAGTAATCCCTGAAAAAACTATTGTTCCTCAACCCCTTCCTACCTATAGATACATGCATTTAGATAACACAAACACACATCTTTACCTTTCTCGATATCAGTAGATTTTTCTGAACTTCACACTCAGGAATTGTGTTTGGATTACAAGAACAAGTTATATATGTCCTGACTCTGATTCACTACTTTCATGAACACTAGAATTCAAAATAGCTGATTCTGATTCAGAATCAGGCTGATTCTGACATCAACATTAATGATGTAATAATGCTGACTCTGAGCAGAATTGTTTCTGTTGCCCTGATATGTGGGGGCACGTCTGCTTTACAGGTGCAGGTGCAGATGTTTGATTGCAGCTCATGCAAATTTGCAGAAGCATTGAACAGATAACGGTGTCGATACGTAGCCTAGAAATAGCTCCCAAAACAGTTTTGGAGGTTGCAGCCAGTATCGAGCTTCACGTACCCAAGCTGCGCTTCCCTTGCTAGTCATACTTGCACTTGGCTAAAGATAGCTTGGATAAATATATGCAGCCCGTAGCTGCATCTCTCCCACCACTGTGCATAGGTCCAGAGTGAGAGTGGAGTGAGTCCTGTTGGAATTTACTTTATAGAAATTACCTTTAATTTACGTGGTTATTTCCTCACAGGAATAAAGATTTTCCCATACCTTTTGAAAATTTATGGCAAAGTTTATTTTGAAAATCTTGTGTGTAAATTTATCATTGGCCTTTGCATAATTATGACATCTTCAGGACTGCAACTGTACTGAAGCTAGAGACCCAGAGCAGCCCTGGTGCTAGATCAGGAAAATGGAGGAAGACTGGCTTACGGCTGGATGTAGGGCCCTTAGCTCACTCCTGACAGCACACATGCCAGTCACGTTGCACCATTGCTCATGCTCCTGGCAACTCGTCGATTCCATATTTTGCTCAGCATTAAGGTTTCTGAGCTTTTACCTACCCACACAAACTCCTTTGTGCCTACAGTAGGTGTGCACAGAAAATGCTGTATTTTCGATGCTCTGCGGGAACCTGACAGTAACATGAGAGAGGTTGGGGTTTTTTTTCCAGGAGGAGGCACCTGTGCTGCCTTCCGAACTGCATGTGCGAAGTATAGTAAATATATGGGTTAAAAAAATCATAATTCAAATCCCTATAGTGGTACTGATCAGATCTCTGTTTCTGTAGCAATGAGAACCAAAGGTGGCCTTTTAAGGCTCACAGTTCATCTACCAATTTCCAGTTCTGCTTCAGGATTCTTAAAGTATTAGAGTGCGTGCTTTAAACCCACAAAACTTACCTTTACCTAATTTTCACCATTCTAACCTAAGTTTCCACGGAAACAGGGTTGAAAAAGCCGCTGGTAGCCAGCAGGCAGCCAGCAGCTGAGAGTGAGAACTCTCCTTTGTCACTTTCCACTACTGGATGCCTGCTGCGTGCCAGTGTGCAAAGCTACCTAGGCTTCTAAAATCTGGACTACTTTCAATTTGAGGGGGAAAAATTAAATTAATCTACTCTTTTCTCTCTTTGGATTGTCACAGTAAATTCCAGGAGGGCAAATGGGCTAATGAGTCCTGATCTGTTCAGTTACACTGAGCCCCGCATAATCAAAGCTTTCCCAACCAACTGGGCCTCTCCTTTCATAATTTCCATGTTTTAAAAGCATTCTCTCTCAAATTTTGTCTCTGTGCACATGTACATGCAGACAGCGGTACCTTAATTCTTTGTGGCTCTGTATCTACCTACCTACGTATTTACGAGGCTTTTTTGCATATAGTATAGCCGATGTATAAAATTCCCTTTTTTCCTGTATACTTAGGGAACATTTCTGAATGAACGCATTATAACTGATCCTCAGTTAAATATTAGGAGTAGGATGTGAATGGAGATGGCTTTTAACCAGAAGTAGATTATAGCTGCGGGAAGACTAAAGGGTCTATTTGGTCAAGACTCATACAAAACTGAGATAAGCATGCACAACCTGACAAGATCAGATTAGACCCTTCCCCCACAAGTGCTTTTCCCATAAATATTTATCTACTTTCTATTATAAATAAGCAGGAAATGAAAAAGAGGGATAGATCCTTTTTTAAAAAAATAGCCTAGAAATAGAAATGCAACTTCAAATCTTCGGGGTAATGATATTTTAAGTATGCAGTAAATTCCAATACTAGTTGCTTTTTTTAGATGGGAACAAAGTACGAAATTCTTCATGGCAGCTACATAAATCAGCAGCATTTTTAAACAAGGAAGAACTTTGCACATTATGGGCATTTTTGCCTGCTATTGGGTACCTTAGAATTAAATAACTTATCACCTATGAGAGAATAGGTGTTGACAGAGTCAGCACTGCTGTATTTTTAAGCTTGCCTGGGGCAACATAGTTGGCATTGAAGTTAAGCTTGGCGTTCTTTCACCCTGTCCCTCCTCCCTCTGGCCCAAGTGAATGCTCACTTCATCAATGAGAAACACAACGGACTTGCCTGCCAGATGTAGCGGAGATCTGTGAATTCTCATCTATTCTGCAAATTGATGTTTCATTCAGATTGTCGATACTTTGACTTCACTTCCTCGTGCACTGGTGTTAAGGGGTAAAGGTCTGAAGCCATACATGTGCCACTAATTCCGAAATGCGTATTTGCTGGTGATCCACTCATCAGAACCTGTGTGGATTGCCTTTCTGTTATAATAGAAAATAGCTCTTTAACTTTGAGATTTAAAACCTTAAAAATGTACAGAATAATATTTTTACGTTTGTCTTTGAAAGTAAGGAGTGTATACTTTTAAAAACACTTCTGTGTCACATAAGAATAATATTAATACTTTAAAAATCTCAAGATGAAAAATGTAAGTCCTTTTTTCTTTTCCTTTTTTTTTTTTTAAATCTTTTTTTTCCTCTAGCATTTTACGATGGGATAATGAGACAGATGTCTCTCAACTGGAAGGACATTTTGACATTGTTATGTGTGCTGACTGGTAAGTACATAAAAATCATAAAACTCATGTTAGAAAAATAGCTTTGCTGGAGTAATTGTACTGTGCTGCTTGCTGATGGCTAAGCAAAGTCAACAAATGAAGCACAAAGCCACCTTAACCTCAACAAATTAATATTCATCTCCATGTGACAGTTATAAGGTAGTCTTCTATCACACAGTAACTTCTACCACATTATTTCCCAAAGATTGATTTTGAGAAGCATTTCCATTTTCTGGAATTGCCTCTGTTTCATGCTTGACGTATCAGTAAATGGACGACTTAGGCAAATTGCAAATAATTATGGCTCAGTGAGGAACAGTCTGGAGAAAAGGGAGTTTATCAACACAAACAGCTCAATTAGCTTACTTCTTAGGAAAGATCTGACTATTGATATAAGGGGATATATTTTTTGCTCCTGGAAAATCTTTCCAAGGAAAAAAAGATTTTTCAAAACCTTTTTTCACATTCTGTTTCTTAAATCAGTTTGACAGCAATATTTGTAGACATAGGCTTTATATTATTTACACAGGCACGTGTTAATTGTAAGAGAATTCTTAGTAAAAAAATGAGAGCACACCACTTAATTTATGAAAAGGTAGATACATGTATATTGTTTAATAATTTATGCAAATAGATTTGATTATTGACACAACCCTTTTCTGATACTGGATTTGCAGAATTGTGCTGTGCTATATTTGCTGTATGATAACTTTAAAAATCCTACATTATTAATAATTTGTGTCATATAAATGGAGACAGTGTAAAAAGAGATGTGCAAATTTCATTTAGGAGAGTAGATATTTTTAAATGAATCTGTCTTTCCTTCATGAATATTTGCTCTTGACCCTTTAAATGGCCAGACTAGAAAAAGCTGTTTATGTTTTGTTGCACATAACTATTGTGAGAGATGAAAATCTGAAAACAAGGACTTCCTAGGACAGCTCAGTTCAGCAGATTTCTGTACCTTACTAAGAAATAGTTTAAGGGAAAAGGCAAAGGGAAGTACAAAGCTGTCTATTGTCTTTTTGTCTTTTTAAACAATGTTCTTTTTAAGCTGCTTCTGATAAAATATTCCTCTAAAGCCTTTTTTTTTTTTCCCTTGCTTTGATATTTTGTTATTGAAGCAAACTCTTATTTCAGAAAAGTTACCTGGTTTGTGTAGCACCGGAGAAAGTGTGTTTAGTCATCATTTTTCTTTTTTTCTAATACCTGTTTGTTGACAGAATGCAACAGTGCTTCATTTCTCCTAGCATTTAATTTCAGAAAAGTTCTTTGTTCCCAAAAAGGACAGAGAAGGGTTTCTAACTAATCGCTGATAATGTGCCTCAGAGATGCATCATCTGATTAAAATAAGGAGCTAAACAACACCATATGATTTCAGCAAGTAATTTAGTAAATGCCTTCCTCACCAAATATTAGAATGGATACTCCAGGTTTCATTGCACAGATGAAGTTAATGCTGGACAGGATTAGATCAGATTAAGTATGAAAGTCAGATCAGAGTCTGGCGGACACGAGCAGGAGGGCAGCAGTCTTCTCGGAGGCTTAGACAAGGCTCACATATGGATGTTCTCCAGATTATGTGGGTGAAGCAAGGTCTTGCCAAGAGATTTAGAGTTAAATTTGTTCTTCACACAAATATCAAAACAACCTGGCTGTGCCATCTCTTGTATTCTTGATACTCACACCATGTCATCCTATTTGTGCTGGGAGTACAGCAGAGTGGAGCAAGACTTAAGTTGTTTTTTTCAGTAATATTCTTGCCTAATACTCCTCCCAGTCTGTTTGGAAATAGTGTAGTTTCTTTAGGAAACAAAGAATCAAACATGACAGGTAAAATACATAATGCATTTGCAATCCCTGCATTTTGTACATTTATTTTGAAGCACTTAAGATGCAGGTAAGTATAAATATTTATACATTTCTAAAAAATAAATAGAAATGTGCAGGTTAGTTTAAAGTACGTGGTTTTATTCACAAATTGTCTGTATTTTCTTATTGCAAGTGCCCATATATAGAGTTTAATGAGCATGAAAATCCCTTTATTCTTTGTTTCTTTTAGAAATCATTCTTTTAGTTATGGACACTAGGTTTTCTGGTACATGAAAAGGCTGGGGGAAAAAATGTTCCATGCTTTATCAAACTCGAATCTTCTTTTCATTTTCATGTATTTCTCTTCCGAGATACAGAATTGGCTTGAGAACTGTTGGCAGGATTTTTGCTCTCTGAATTTTTTGGGCTGCCATTGAAGAAGAAGAAGAAAAAAAAATCTCTTTTCTTATAGCTCCTCGGCTGAAACCTGAAGTAAGCAGCGATAAAAACAGATAGAATAGATTGCATTTAGTTTAACACCATCATATAGCTCATTGTCAGTCAATAAAATCTGGGATTAGAACAGAGAACTAGAAAGCAAAAAATCTGAGTTCAAATATTAGGTACATGGATAAATTTTTATTGAAGTATTTCCAGCAAGGGTGATATTGTCTGATTCTCTGAATAGCTAACCAGTGGTACTGCTTGATCCCATTTACATGAAAACAAGCTCTATTCATAAACATATTCCAAATCCACATGGAGGTTCAAGTAAAAATGTACATGATTACAACAAGCAGCAATATGTTTATATTCATATATTTACACTCAGACTTTCATAAACCTTGTGTGCAGGGGTGGAAAATAAGTTATTTCCCAGAACAGACAGTCTATTAGTTAACAGCTAAATTTAGTAGCTCAACTAGATTATAAAATAAATAAGAGGCAAACTGTGAAAGCTAGTCATTATTTAACCATTCAAGATTTTGACAATAAAAATAGTTTCATGGTTCAGCA